ACTTGGCTACTTCTTACTCAAAAGTATGCCTTCCATAATGATTTAGACAAGTTGAGTAAAAATCAGCAACTATCCAAACAAAGTCAGTTAAAAAGGTTACATCCTTTCATTGACAGCTCCGGGTTAATACGTGTGGACGGTCGTTTGTCTCAGTCAAACTTGTCAGACAGCATGAAGTTTCCAATAGTACTGCCATCAAAGTCCAGACTAACTCGATTATTGTTTGAATACGARCACAAACGTTTGTTACACATTGGACCACAAGGATTGCTAGCTCATATTCAAGGCACCTTCTGGCCAATAAGGGGACGAATAATTGCAAAAAGTGTAGTACATAAGTGCCTCATATGTTACAAAACCAAGCCTACTCTACAAGTACCATTGATGRCGCCCCTACCCCGAGCTAGAGTAACGATGGAACGGCCYTTTGCACRAATAGGTGTAGATTTTTGTGGCCCCATACACATACGAAGTGGCATACGCAAGGTCCAATCCATTAAAAGTTATATTGCGGTATTTGTTTGTTTTGTTACCAGGGCAATACATTTAGAACTCGTTAGTGACTTAACAACAAGTGCTTTCATGGCTGCCCTCTTCCGGTTCATGTCTAGACGCGGGCAATGCGCCCATATTTACAGTGATAATGGCACCAACTTTGTTGGTGCAGAAAAGGAGCTAACCTCATATTTTAAGWTTGTATCTGGTAAGCGTTCAATCCAAGAAACCGTAGCAGATCATGGCATACAGTGGCATTTCATACCTCCAGCAGCACCCCACTTTGGCGGATTATGGGAGGCAGCGGTAAAATCTACTAAGGCACACTTAATAAAAATGTCAGGTAGTGCGCTTCTCAACTTTGAAGAAATGGCTACACTTTTATGTAGAATTGAAGCAGTACTCAACAGTCGTCCATTGACTCCAGCCTCTAACTGTCCGTCAGACTATACTGCACTAACACCAGCGCATTTCCTAGTGGGTGGAAATCTATTGTTACCTCCTGAACCT